GCATGCATGCATGCATGGATGTATGTATGTATGTATGTATGTATGTATGTATGTACGCATGCATGCATGCATGCATGCATGCAGGTTTGCATGCCTGTATGTATATATGTATGTGTGTACGTATGTATGCGTGTATGCGTTTATGTATGTATGTCTGTCTGTCTGTCTGTCTGTCTGTCTGTCTGTCTGTCTGTCTGTCTGTCTGTCTGTCTGTCTGTATGTATGTATGTATGTATGTATGTATGTATGTATGTATGTATGTAATGTATGCGCGCATATATGGATTGATGCATGCATGTATGCATGCATGCAGGTTTGCATGTATGTAGCCATGTCTGTGTTTGTGTACGCCTGTACGTACGCATGCACGCATGTACGTATGCATGTATGTATGTGTGCATGTGTGTATGTATGTGCGCATGTATGTATGTATGTATGCATGTATGCATGCCTGCATGTATGTATGTATGCATGTATGTATGTGTGCATGCATGTGTGTATGTATGTATGTATGCATGCATGCATGCATGCATGCATGCATGCATGCATGTATGTATGTATGTATGTATGTGTGTATGTATGTATGTATGTGTGTATGTCTGTATGTATGTATGTATGTATGTATGTATGTATGTATGTATGTATGTATATATGTATGTATGTCATGTATACACATTTTATCAGAGTCTTTTATCGATGTTGTTATGAATATGTATAACTGTAGCGTATGTTTATGTGCACATATATATATGTACATGTTTAAGTATATCGGCGAGAATCATCGATGAGCATCCTGGACCATCTTGCGAACAATGTACATGCACGAAGCCGAAGCATGCACCGGGAATGGACGTCCGAGCGATGGCAAGATAATGAGGCGCTCCAGAAGGTCAGCGTCGTCTAACTTATCTCGAAGAACAAACAACGGCATACGCATAACTTTCGGAGCCCCGAGCGGATTCCTCGGGTCGGTGTCTGGGCCACCCGGACGGCGCGTCCGGCGCCGCCCTTGGCGCGCTCCGCGCGCCGGGGAGGGGGGGTCCAGCGTCGATTTGGGAAATCCGCGCGGACTTCCGAAAGTTTGTGTTTATGCTGCTGTTTGTTCCTCGGGCAAGGACCATTTGATTTGGTTTATGCTGCTGTTTGTTCCTCGGGCAAGGGTTTCAATGCCATATCCAACGGCCGTCACAGTAGGTGGCCGTCTCGATTGATCCGTTGTTTGCGGCCATCTTGCCACCACTGCTCCCAGAGTATTCGCTCCCCATCCCTGCTGGAACCTGGCCCCACCATCTCACTCTCCTAGGTGGGGATAGGCCCTTCGAGATCCGCAGGAACAGGCGTATATTTCCCCCCTGCAGTCAGGTGAATGTCGTTGGTCGTTTTTGTTGTTCCCCCCCCTTCAGCGCATGCCAACACATCGGAAACGCGTGTTCACGCACGCGCAGTCGCGTGCACGCGCGCCCGCGCGCGCACGCGCTCAGGATGGGGATCGGGCTCGGGCTCGGACTCAAGCGCGCGCTCGGGCCGGGTCTGGCTCGCGCTGGGGCCACGCGCACCCGCGCGCGCACGCGCTCAGGATGGGTCTCGGGCTCGGGCTCGGGCTCGGGGTCTGGCTCGCGCTCGGGCCACGTACGCGCGCCCGCGCGCGCACGCTCTCAGGATGGGGCTCGGGCTCGGGCTCGGTCTCAAGCTCGCGCTCGGGCTCGGGGTCAGGCTCGCGCTCGGGCTCGGGCTCGCGCTCGCGCCTGAGCTTGCGCGCGCGCACACGCGCACGAACGCGCACACGCGCACGCTCGCGTGTTACGCTCACGCACGCGCGCACGCACACGCGTGCGCGCGCACGTGCACGCGGACTGCCCCCGTTTGAGGGCGAGGCGTGACTACAATGCGAGGACACCCACCCTTGGGCCCCGTACCCCCCCCACACCACCCCATTCATTGGCTGACGCCGCACCGCCGACCCCTTGGGGCGGCAGTAAGGGTGAAAATCGGAGTTTGCGGAACGCGCGCGATTTCCCGGGACTCTTGGGGCTTCAGCTTCTTGGGATTTCGTCGGGGGCGCTTGGCGGATTGCGGCTCTGCTCTTGGGCTTCTTTGGACTCTTCTGGCAGCACTTCTGAGGCCTCTTGGGAGCCGTGCTGAGGCCTCTACGGGCGTCTTTTGGGCCTGTCGGGGGCCTCGTGGGAGCCTGTTTGGGGGCCTCTCGGCGCCTCAGGTTCTTTTGGGGCCGAGTGCTCGAAATGTGAATTCGAGTTCCCCCTCTGGGCCTCCTCTTGGGGCCGTCCTGGGTCCTCTTGGGCCGTTTGGAAGCTTCCAGGGCCGTCTTGGGTCCTTAGTTGGCCGTCTTGGAGCCCTCTTGGGGGCCTCTTGTGTTATCATGGGTCGATCTTGGAGACTTCTTGGGGCGTTGTGGGCCTCGTGAAAGCTCAAAAGGCGAATGTGCTAACATATACGTTTTCCATCGGGAATGAAACGATGTTTGCTTCTGGAGGGCCTCTTGGTATGCCTCTTGGTGGCTTCTTGGAGTGTCTTGGGGGCCTCTGGTGGGGTCGTCTGGAGGCAATCTTGGGCGTCTTGGAGCGATCTTTCGGCGACTCGTAGCCCTCTTGGACCGTCCGGGGGGCCTTTTGGGGTCATCTTGGCTTGTTTTGGGGCCCTTTGAGGCTCCAAGGGTGCGGCCAGCACTTTTGCCCCCCCCCCCCCCCCACCCACCACACACCTCCAAACTGGCCAGACCGGGCTCCCGGGGGAGGGGTTTGAGGAGGGGGATGCATCTCACATGCCGTGACCCCAAGGGGTCGGCGGAGTTACATTATGAAATCCCTAAGTGCGGTGTGGTTCCAGCACCCAGTTTTGACTAGGGGAAGTGGCTCCAGCAGATTCTGTCGTCAAGAAGGGTGGGTTCCAGTACCCAGTTTTTGCGAGGGACAATGGTTCCAGCAGCCCACGCCGTGGCTCCAGCATCCAATTTTGACGAGGGAAAGTGGTTTGAGTAGATGATGCCGTCAAGAAGGGTAGGTCCCATCATCCAATTTTGACGAGGGGAAGCCGATCCAGCAGATCATGCCGACAAGACGACCAGGCGGCGTCTTAGAGGCAGCTAGGGCGACCCGCGCCTCAGCCACGCACCCTCCTACAATCCGTCAATCAGTTTACCAGCAAGCTGTTCACCTGTCCCTAGGTGGGTAAGTCGGCCAGTGGGGCCAACTCCACGCAAGTGGAGGTACCCATGGCCGCGCACCGAGTCCGTGACATTTATTTGTGCCCCTGCAGTCCTGGCTGGATTGGTCCGCCGGTGGGGTTGCAGGCAGCTGACGGCGAGTGGCTTCGGGCTGGTGCTTCGCGTGTTCCCTGACCTTCCTTTCCCTCCCCTCTCCCCCCGCCCCCCCCAAAAAAGTGGAGGTACCTATGGGATTGGATGAACGATGCTCAGAGAAGGGCATCGCCTCCGAGGGCCAGAGGAGCTGACGTCACTTCCTCGGCGGGAGGCCTTGCGGAGGCCAGCGGAAGCAGAAGCGGGGCGCCTCCGCCGGCGGAAGACCGGCGGAAGCGGGCGTGGGTAAAACAGCAGCCTTCAATCGACTGCACGTAAGAGGAGGAGGAGGAGGAGGAGGAGGAGGAGGAGGAGGAGGAGGAGGAGGAGGAGGAGGAGGAGGAGGAGGAGGAGGAGGAGGAGGAGGAGGAGGAGGAGGAGGAGGAGGAGGAGGAGGAGGAGGAGGAGGAGGAGGAGGAGGAGGAGGAGGAGGAGGAGGAGGAGGAGGAGGAGGAGGAGGAGGAGGAGGAGGAGGGATGACCTCTCGCCGGAGTGACTTCTGGTGCGGGCGCAGTGGGGCCCCCGATCGCTGAGCGCGAAGCGTTAGCAGCGGCTTGCGCGTCCAGGTTTGGCCACCCCGCGTCCCCCGTCAAGCCGCGCACCAAAGGTCACTCTTGCCCAGGGGCACTCTTAGAGGAAAGAGAACTGTGCACATACACCGATTCTGGCCATGCCCATCCTGAGCCCAGGATCGGTGCATACGCCCTCCTACGGTGGCCAGGAAGGCACATGCACCGATCCTGGGTCCAGGATGGGCCTTACCAGGACCGGTGCATGTGCACAGTTCTCTTTGCCCGAACTCCTGCGTGCAGGCGATGCAGGAGGTGCCGCTGCTCTCGCCACCTGGGAAAGCGGGCCCCGAGGGAGACGGCTCCTGCATTTTCTGTCCCCCCTATTGCTCGGGCCCTCGGGGGCCCGCCACGGGCCCCGGGACGCGCAGAGAGCGGCTCGGGAGGAAGAGCTCGTCCTGGGGGAAATCGACTAGACGGTAAGAGTGACCTTTCGCTGGAGTGACCTTTGGTGCGGGCTCCCGTCCAAGGTGTACCTTTTCCTGCACTTCAACTTCGGCACCGCCTGATCCCAGGGCTTCGCCCTCTCTCGGCCTTGACGTGAGGCTCCGCCTTCTTTCGCCCTCCTTCTCTAATTAATGCTGTGCGCGGCCCGCTTAGCATCTATCGGAAGAGGTTCGCTCTCGCCCCGCAGATCAACAAAAAGGGTCGCCGAGGAAAGCCCCAGGGTCCAGGACTCGTTTTCCTGAGGACTCGTCTCCCCCATGCTAGCACAGGTTTTCAGGAGTCGAGCCACCTGGTCTAGCTGACTCCGCTCGCATCGCCAGTTGGATGCTAGGGGTATGTCGCGGGCGGTCAAGCGTTGGATGGGTGGCTGGGTGGACGCTGGCCACGAAAGCCGTGATTTAAGCTGCCTCCGTTTCCAATGTGGCGTGCCGCGCTGGCGGCCCCACGTCGTCTCGCGTAAGACCCTCCTCCTCCTCCTCCTCCTCCTCCTCCTTCTTTTCCTCCTCCTCCTCCTCCTCCTCCTTCTCCCCCTTTGTTCTCGTCGCTACTATGGCGCTCTGGCACGCGCGTGTTCGCGCACGCTCGCCACCTGGGCGCCCCGCGAACCGGCGCGCGGCGAGCCGTCGGCGGGCCGGCGGGCCAGGCTCGGCGGTTGACGTTCAGCTGCAGCCATGGGCGGCCCCCTCAGCTCCAGCCCTCGCTTCGAGGGCGCGTCAGAGGGAATGTGGGAGTAGGGGGAGGAGGAGGGCGGAGGGATGAGGAGGGAGGAGGGAGGACGGAGACGCGAGGAGGAGGAGGAGGAGGAGGAGGGGAAGGAGGAGGAGGAGGACGAGGACGGGGAGGAGGAAGAGGAGGAGGAGGAGCAGGAGGATGAGGAGGAGGGCAGGAGGAGGAGGAGGAGGAGGAGGAGCAGGAAGAGGAGGAGGAGGAGAAGGAGGACTATGAGGGTGATGATGAGGAGAAGGAGGAATGGTACGAATTATACTCATACTGATAAGAAGAAATACTACTACTGTGAAAAAAGAAGATCACATCACTAATACTAAGACTCATACCAGTCATACTACGACTAATCAAGTTTTTAATACTTTAAGTAGAGATAACTGTTTTAATCGCAGTAGTAGTACTGATAGTCATAGCATTCAGAAGCAAGATAACCATACTAAAAGGAATTCTCAGCAGAAGAAGAAGACGAGGAATTCACTCGTGGGCGGAAGGAGCGTGGCTCTGACGTCCACGATCCCAATACCTGCAGCCTCTGTAGCTGCAGGCTGGCAAGAGATCGACTCTTCGAGGACGCATGCGATGGAGTCCAGAACCAGGGGCTGACCACACTCAGCCTAAGCGGCGGAGCAGTCGGCCCACTTGCTACCCAATGGGCGACACAATGCATCAAATCCCGCGACGATGTCGCGGCCTGCTGATAGTTCTGGCAGTGGCAACTCTGAGGCATGCACAGGAAGAAGAGGCGAGGAAAAACGCAAGTAGGTGAAGGGCTAAGCGCTGCGCTTAGCCCTGGGTCAGCCGTAGCCCTTTCCACGCGCAAGCCCATCGACAGGAGGATCGGCACGTAGATGGCTATGAGGGAAATCGCTGACACCGACATCGAACATATCGGTGTCACCTGTCCCCAGCGCCGCCACCACACACTTGGCAGCGGTCTTAATCTGGGATTGCGCGGCAGACGTGTCGAACGTCTCCTTCCACTGCTCCGCTTCGCCCTCCTCCGACTTCTGGCAGTGAACTGCATCGGCGGGTTTGCCGACAGACTCGGTGAGGAGCAGCGGCACGAACTCGGGAGCGCCGCGCCTCGGGCCCGACCTCGAGGCCGGCGGGAGGTTCCAGCAGCCCGGGGCCAGGCCGCACGCCGGAGCGGTCGTGGCCGGGTCCAGCTCCTGGACGCCCGCAGCGCGCGAGGCGCCTTCCAGGCGAGGTGTCCAGCAGCCGCCACCGACACATTCCTCCAGCGATGCTGTGGCTAAGTCGGGCCTGTCCTCCTACAGGGGGATTTCCGACGACAAATAAAGAATACCCCCCAAATAGGCCAAACATAGTCCCAAAATAGTCTGGTGACAATTTTTGTAGTATTTTTTGGCCTTCTTGGGGTATGTTTTTTTTTTGTTTTTTTTTTTTTTTGTCGAAAATCCTCCTGTAGGGGGACGCGCCCAACTTACTGCTATGGTGAAGCCGCCGCTCTGGGCCAGGGCAGGCGTGCGAGACGGCGTTCCTCCGCTGCCTCGCCACTCCTGGCACTCGCTGCCTCCGCGTTCCTCCGCTGCCTCGCTGCGTTCCTCCGCTGCGCTCCTCCGCTGCCTCCGCCGCCTCGCCTGCCAGCCGCGGCAGGGCGGAGCGCCGGGCGCGCGGCCGCCTCGCGGTCCTGCCGCGCTCCTGGCTGCCTCCCGCGCCCTTGCCGATCCGCCTCGCGGCCTCGCACTCCCGCGGGGGCCCGCTTCCGCGCAGCACGGCGCGCCGCTGTCTGCCCGAGCTGCAGGGCCTCCAGCGCGCAAGAGGAGGAGGAGGAGGAGGAGGAGGAGGAGGAGGAGGAGGAGGAGGAGGAGGAGGAGGAGGAGGAGGAGGAGGAGGAGGAGGAGGAGGAGGAGGAGGAGGAGGAGGAGGAGGAGGAGGAGGAGGGAGGAGGAGGGAGGAGGAGGGAGGAGGAGGAGGAGGAGGAGGAGGAGGAGGAGGAGGAGGAGGAGGAGGAGGAGGAGGAGGAGGAGGAGAGGCGGAGGCGGAGGCGGAGGAGGAGGAGGAGGAGGAGGAGGAAGAGGAGGAGGAGGAGGAGGAGGAGGAGGAGGAGGAGGAGGAGGAGGAGGAGGAGGAGGTGGAGGGAGGAGGGAAAATGAGGAGGACTTGGAGGAGGAGGAGGAGGTGAAGGAGGAGGAGGAGGAGGAGGAGGAGGAGGAGGGGAGGGAGGAGGGAGAAACGAGGAGGACTTGGAGGAGGAGGAGGTGAAGGAGGAGGAGGAGGAGGAGGAGGAGGAGGGCATCCATCGCGCGGCGTGACGAGGGCTGCCACCGTTGAGGGCTGCCCGCCGTAGCATACACCTTCACCAGGCCGACCTCCGACATCGCGGGGACCGCGACAGGGACTAGAGACAGAGCCGCTCTCGAGCGCAGAAGCAGCAGGAGAGAGACAATGCGCACCTAGCCCGCCTGGCGCCCAAGGCAGGCT